ATATACAGAGAGAGAGAGAGAGAGAGAGCTGTCACTTTTTTTTCAACTGAACAGTGGACAAGAGAGTTATTGCTGCTAATAAGTTTCATTACTTTTTTAAAACTTGATTCATATTTATTTTCAATGTTATTCAAAAAGCACTTTGCGAATTTGAAGGCGCCCCAAGAAACAGAATAGGGGTTCACTTATAAGTTGTTGCACCACAGGTTCTGTTCCCCATGTCTCTTTTTTTATTAGCATAATGGTGGCTCGCAACTTTGCTGTCACCGCTTCCAGTCGCGACGAGCTTCTTCGCGGGAACACCGTATTCCTTGCCGGCAATTTTACAAGTTGTCCTCGGGGCACAAAGAGGAAACCTATAGTTGCCAATTTGGCTTCTCAGTTGCTTACTATAATATTGAAGGTTAAGACTATTTCATGTACTATAATATATTTGTTAAATTATATAATCTAATATAGAAAAGGCGAAGGGTGTGCTTGGAGAAACATTCATTTGCTGTCAAATTGATGTATAAAATTAAATATCAACAAATAGCATCTCGTGACTCCGTAGAAAGTCAGAAGCAGCCACCCTAATGTTTTATGTTAACGCGAAAGATTAATACAACATGAAGAAATACAGATGTTGCGCAAGCTATACAATCGTTTTCACAATATGTGTAATGGTTGTGGTCTCCACCTCATCTCTTTTTGTCAGTTACCTTAAACAGGTGATAGCTTATCACTCGGTGTTTCAGAATCACAAGATGTTGGTGGGCCAATCGTTTTGGTAAATTTAGACGCTTAGACTATAATATATGGCGAGGTTCAAGGGCGATGCTAGGGCCCAAATTTATATATATATTGATTTTGAGCAAGTTTACCGGGCAAAATTCACAAACTTTCCTACTAACTGAAAAAGTTTAATGTGTCCTGAGCGCTCATATGACATTATGCAGTGGCGAGCGCCGTAAAACACTTACTCAAAAAACAAAAAAACTCCCTGCTGAATTCTATTTGTCTGAAGTTTTGTTGAAATTTGTGAAGTGATATCCGAGTTATCACCTTTTACATGGATTCTCTTTTTTTTTTTAACAATCTGTTTTTCTTCAAACTACCTCCGATGGGGATGGTCCTCTTCAGTATAACAATGCCACTGTCGATTTATAATCAAAGATTTGCTTCTGTCTTTTATGAAGGTCTATAAAGACATTTCTTTCTTTCAATAAGCAAATTCCATGCTCGTTCATTAAAACATGATTGGAGAGGTTCTAGTAAAGCAGGAGGATCGAAGGGAAACCTTGCTCTTCTTTTTGTTCGTTGAAGTCTTACGTGTCACGGCACGGTAAATAAAGGCACTCGTTAATTTTTGGGCACAGAGATATTAGTATTATCTTAAAGGTTGTTCATTCGTTTTGCTTTTGGTTGAAAAAATAACCACCTATCATTGTTTTGACGAGCGCTTGATTTCACCGTGATGCATCTCCTATTCATATAAAGTGAGCCCAAAGCATAGCAATGTTACAGCGTTAAAAGACAGTAAATTAATCGTGAACCCCGAAATGTCGATTTCTGGTTCGATTCTTAAATTATCATTATTTCTGTTCAGATTCAGATATTGCACCATAACAACTACCGATTTTTTGTCTAGCAATGGCATTTAATTAACGTAAGATGCGTCTCTTTCTGTCTCTCTCTCTCCCCCCCTCTCTCTCTCTCTCTCTCTCTCTCTCTCTCTCTCTCTCTCTCTCTCTCTCTTTCTCTCTCTCTCTCTCTCTCTCTCTCTCTCTCTCTCTCTCTGTGTGTGCATGCGTGTGTGTGAGTTAGTGTGTGAGTAAGTGAGTGTATGTCTGCGCACGTGCATACTTGCGGCAGACTCAGTGTCTCAATACAAAGGGTGTATTGCAGAGGCCACCAATGATGTTCATCAAATTGAATAATTATGTTCCACAGTTGCAGCAAATAAGGATAATACGAACGTTTAGAAATTAGCCTGTCTGGGTACACAACAATTAGATTTAATAAAAATGTGTTTATTTCCTTTTTATTTCTTATTTATTGACAGCGAACGTGAAACAAAATGACCTTGTCACAGCTACAGAAGGTGTCCTTTCTTTCCCACGCACTTGGGTTTGTGGTGCTTGTATGTGTGTTCTTCGCTCCTGCTTGGCTACATCTTGAGGCTGCTGGAGTCTATGAGAGAATACACATTAAGGGCGTTGACTTTGGTATCATGATGAAATGTGTTATAAGTAATCCCAGTCACTCCGGGGGAGACGATGTTTATACCTGCAGTTTTCTCCAGTGGAACGATTTTGACGGACGCTTACCAGGTAAGGGGTTCATGGCCAGTAAATATAGTCAGAAGATGAGGGGTGCAAAATTCAC